AACTATATATCTATCCTAACCACTTTGAATACACAGATACAAAATGGACATTCATCTGTATCCCCCCCTTTTTTTGTTAAGTTCCGTTATTTGAATATCATACATGTGTAAACTCAGCAAAATATTCTAAAAGATTCTAGTAGCCCATAATAGTATTGGGTCTTCTGCTTGACTGGCAATGTCAGAAATTGTTGACCTGAGTCCCCTACAGCTTAACATAACAGCATGGCTTTTAAATATGAAATCATGAGTATATATTTTTCCTTTTCATTGATGATCTGAATTCTATTGAGATTTTCAGGAAGATAAAGAACAATGCAAATTTCCAGCTAAGGCAGTTTTGCTAGGTTAGTTTACTCTTTCATGGTGAAGCTTTCATTTTATGTTGAAATTGATGAAACTGACACCCAGAAAGAATCAGAGTTAAACAAGTATACACAGCCAATTAGTGCAACTAGAATTAAAATTTCCCAGTTCTTAATTTAATAATCTTATGTATAGGTATAAAATTGATGGATAAGATTAAAATTATGTTTGGAACTTTGCTCAATGCTCTTTTGAAAACTAAGTACACATGCTATTAGGCAGCAGCATTTGTAAACAATCCTAAACTGCCATGCACTGCTGTAGGCACCATTGAGTCACATGTGCATACATGATACACAAGGTAAAAGAGGCTACATTATACATTAGGTAAAGAAGGCTTCAAGACCAACATATTCATGGTTTTCATCTTTTACTACAGACAACAATCAAAGAAATAAGGGGGTCTTCATTTCTAACATAAATTTGTTATATGAAAACAGAATAACCCTAAATTACAAATTATATATGGATGTATCTAATTAGTGTTCATGTATCTGTCCATCAATTTTGCTTCATACTGGCTTCCTGCAATCTAAACTATAAATTTATTCTGAAGATTTGTAATGTGTTTGGTCCCTAGCAACTTTGTTTCTATTGAAATAACATTCTAATTATTGTTTTCAACTTCTGTGTGAGAAATGGATCATCAACTTATGATTATTTGCAATAATAATAATCATAGCCACTTTTTATCAATAAAACTTTGAAAAAAAATTAAAAAAAAGAAGACAACAATATGCAATATGCAATATAACAACTATCGCTGAATTCCTATTATTTTATTTAGTGAAATTCTGCATTGTTTGTAATTTCTTATTCTCTTTGAAAAATAATAAAATAAAGATTAATAACTAAAAAAATAATCATAGCCACTTTTGAACATCTTGTTAACTTTCATTTCTTTCCCTATCATTCTTTGGACATTATTATTACTATTGAATTTTTATTGGCATTATTGTTGTTAAACATCTACTGGTGCATGTTTTATTATTGTCAATCTCCATCTTATGTATTAATTAAAACTAACAATATTAAATATGTTAAAGTGGCGCTTGCCTGGCAAGCACAAGGGCCTGAGTTCAATTCCTAGTTCCGAAAAAAAAAAGAAAAGTGAAAGTGAAAGGAAGTGAGAGATGCTGGATATAAAGCTTATTTTCATTTTTTACTCCAGAGCTAGAAGTTACAGTAACTAGCATGTTTTACTGCCTGTCTTTCATTGACAAAATTTATTTATGAAGTATTAAAATGATATTTTTGTTGAAATATATTCCTTGCAATTTGAAACTTGCATATTAGATTTTTTCTTTCAGTATATGCAAACAGTGTACCCCCTAAAAATAGATTAATCTAGCTTGATTTGTAAGACTAATGATTGACTTTTCACATAAACATCAGAGCAGTAAATTGTGAAAGAGGAATAATAAAAGTATGGAATGATGGGAAGAATGTGGAGGGATACCTTTTTTTTTTTTTTTTTTTT